CCTGTGTGACTGAAAGGCAGTGGGAGGGAGAGGAGAAGAAGCCGGAGTTCAGCTGCTGCAGAGAGAGCCATGCAGGGGATTGGTTCCAGTAATTGCCCCCCGCTGTGTCGATCACTCTCCCTGCCCACATCTGATTCACCCAGCTGCCTGGACCCTTCTGTTGTCCTGGGCTCCATACAGGAGGACTGGTGGTACCCCTTATCCACGGCCCTGGCAGACATAGATTCATATTACACAGACATACTTGATCCCGTCCCAGCTGATGGTCTGTTGGTGAGTCCACTAGTGGCAGCATCAGTGCAGCTTGCCAGTTGACTTGTGAATGCCTGTAAATACATAACACAAGAAAATGCCCATCATACAGCAAGAAACACATATCTGAGATACAACAACTGGAAGTGAGGTGGCCGGGCTTTAGTGGGATGAGGGAGAGGCTTTCTAGAATCTAACTCACTAAGGATACCTTTTATAAAGACTTTCTAGTAATCCACCTTTCTGCTTGTAACCACCAAGTGTATTGTCCTGTCTGTGTATCCTATCCATGCCTGCAATATCACCTCCCTCATTACTTGTCAACTGACACTCCTGAAGGATACAAGGTCCAAACTCCTCACCTCTTTATTGGTATTCAGATGGAACTCTTCCCAACAGGTCCTAGACAGCTCCAGTACCATCTGCATGTACCCAACGATGGCTCTGTGCATGCAGGGGATGGGAAGCTTGACAACTCACCACCCAGATGGCCATGTGGCAATATTCAACCTCCAGACCAGTCATTTTAAGCCAGCATTCATGGGACCCTCAGATTCCTCCACAGGTTGCTTGAGGTTCACTGAGCTGCGGCTGATTGATCGCCCACATTTGATGGTACCTGCACAGTTCCAAGGCCAACAGAGCCATTTGCATGACCCAATGTTCTTCTTAGCGGTTTATAAGGGTGGCATTCTGACCACTGGCCACCAATGTGAGGGACATTTTCCCACTGACCCCCAATTAATCAGTTTTAGAAGGGGTTACTCAAGATCTAAAAATTATTTTAAGGGTTCCTATGGACTAAAAAGGCTTAGGAAAAGGCTACTCTAGAGTAACAGCATCACAATAAACATGAGATCTCTATTACCTTGATGGTGTCCGTGTCACTGGGGTGAAGGACCACATGAACTTCCTGAAGATTCTGTACTTTGTTTCTGCAGCTAAACTGGAAAATCTCATCAAGCATCACAAACGCCACCAAACCTTTTGGGAAGCCGAGGTTGCCGGTTCCGATAGCTGGGAATGATATTGACGTCCGCTGGTTCTGCTCCGCCAGCGCCAAACAGTCTTTAAAAATTGTGCGAAGAATCTGAAACAGAATCCAGGACTAAAGTGTAACTCTGAGCAAGATATAAAATGACATAGTTCTCATTTGTATAGCACCGTACTTCCTGGGGGCTCAAAGTGCTTAGGAGGTGAGACAGCCATCCTGGGTTCTCACAGTTGAGCCAGTGAACCTACCAGCATGTGTTTTGGGAGGAAAGCACACAAGCACAGGAAGTACATGCAAACTCCAAGCAAACAGTGTCCTGGTTCAAGCCAAGGACCTTAATGCCCAAAGCATTAGTGCCTCCACTTCTGATCCACTGTGCTACTACCTCTGCTTCTGTGCTGCCATCTTAATAAAGTCTTTCACTAACGTTACTACAGCATGGTTTGTATGGACGAGTCCCCCCTAATGTCAGGAGATCCAATATTTTTCCACTTCCTGCAACAGGCCAAGCTGTCCTGCCAAAGTAGCAGTTCCAGGAAGTCTCTATTTCAGCTGCTGAATGGTCAGAGCATTCACTCACGCTTCAAGGCAATTTCAGATAAAAAATATTGCTATGGCAATACTTATGGTAGAGAATCACAAAAAAAAAAAAAGATTATCAAAGATGATGGGCGTCTCCATAGTGACAAATTGCACCAGAAAGTGTCTGGTAATAGAAACCAAAATGCGGACACTCCAACCAAACTCAACAATGTGATCAATATCCAGCAATATACGCAAGTATCACAAAAACGGGCAACAATTAGTATCTCATTTCAACAGTGGCCCGATTTTATGTCTATGAGACATTTGCCCATGAGAATCATCGAATATTTAATTTTTCAAACACAATGTGGAACTGCAGCCAAGCTTTTCTTTTTTTTTAATATAGAAGGAAAGGATTGGAACCTTTGGAGTTCCTCCTAAAGATCCACATGAAAAAATCTCCTTTGTATGCCTTTACTATGGTTATACACTCACCGGCCACTGTTTTAGTTCCACCTTGCTAGTGCCAAGAAAATTCCTCCCCACACCATGACACCACCACCAGCCTGAACCGTTGATACAAGGCAGGATGGATCCACCACCACCATGACACCACCAGCCTGAACCGTTGATACAAGGCAGGATGGATCCCCCACACCATGACACCACCACCAGCCTGAACCGTTGATACAAGGCAGGATGGATCCCCCACACCATGACACCACCACCAGCCTGAACCGTTGATACAAGGCAGGATGGATCCCCCACACCATGACACCACCAGCCTGAGCCATTGATACAAGGCAGGATGGATCCCCCACACCATGACACCACCACCAGCCTGAACCGTAGATACAAGGCAGGATGGATCCCCCACACCATGACACCACCACCAGCCTGAACCGTAGATACAAGGCAGGATGGATCCCCCACACCATGACACCACCACCACCAGCCTGAACCGTTGATACAAGGCAGGATGGATACCCCACACCATGACACCACCACCACCAGCCTGAACCATGGATACAAGGCAGGATGGATCCCCCACACCATGACACCACCAGCCTGAACCATTGATACAAGGCAGGATGGATCCCCCACACCATGACACCCACCACCACCACCAGCCTGAACCGTTGATACAAGGCAGGATGGATCCCCCACACCATGACACCACCACCACCACCAGCCTGAACCGTTGATACAAGGCAGGATGGATCCCCACACCATGACACCACCACCACCACCACCAGCCTGAACCATTGATACAAGGCAGGATGGATCCACCACACCATGACACCACCACCACCAGCCTGAACCATTGATACAAGGCAGGATGGATCCCCCACACCATGACACCACCACCACCACCAGCCTGAACCGTTGATACAAGGCAGGATGGATCCACCACACCATGACACCACCCCCACCAGCCTGAACCGTTGATACAAGGCAGGATGGATCCATGCTTTCATGTTGTTTACACCAAATTCTGACCCTACAATCTGAATGTCACAGCAACAAGTCTGCCCTATCTCCTCTGACCTCTGACATCAACAAGGCATTTTCCTCTACATAACTGCCACTCACTGGATATTTTCTCTTTTTTGGACCTCACATCCCCACTATATCATAGCCCCCCCCCCCCCTTCTCACAGGCCCTCCTCTCACGGCCCCCTCCCCTCACCCCCCCCCCTTTTCACAGCTCCCCCCCTCTCACTTCACTGCAGACTGGTAACTCCTGAACTGGATTCTCGAGTCCAGAGGCTTCAAAGAGTCTTGGGAGGCATAAAGCCTCTACGCCTATATCCATGTCTTACCGGAGACCAGCTTCTGGGCTATGCAGCCTTTATAATCAAGGGGCTCTCAGTGATTCAGGGCTCGACCCAGAAGACAGGAGGTCCCCTGCCCAGGTCAGGTTGTGGGACAGTGCAGCAGGGAGCTGCGAGAGAGATGGTGTGTCTCTAGGCAGGAGCCTGTGCAGCCCCGGTGAGCACTTTGTTAGTCAGACAGTATAGGCGTCTGACCAACAAAGTGGCCAAGTCTTAGAATATTGTCCGAGACCAACAAGGCAATTCTGAGGGACCACAAAGTCTACATATCCAGGAGGCTGGATTATATCATAGCGATGCTGAAAACCCCTGTGAAGGTAACCATGTGCTTTGTTTTTGGACTTTTTACTTTCTTCTTAAAGAAAAGTGGGGCCACCAAGCCCTAGTAGGTAAGTGATTTCCTGGCCTTGTCCCTTATCGTAGTTCTACGGAGGGACTTTTTACTCTACAAGGCAATTTTCGCATAGCAGAATGAGGTGAAGTTGTGCTGGCTTCAACCATCTAAGCATGTGCCAGGAAAAGTCCTGTTTTTTTTTTTTTCGTTTTCCTTGCATGTGATTGAGTATTCCTTTCAGAGAATTTTTACCACATTACACAAGCTAAGTGAAATCTCCCTTTGCAAAGTGAACAGGCTTTAGAAAAAAATCCCAAATTAATTTCCCACCACACTCTGTGGACCTGAAGGTACCGTTTCCGATGTTCCTTGTCCGCTGTCCCAGTGAGGGGCCACAACATGAAGAACCTCTTGACAGTTGAGATTGCAGCTGCCGGTGCTGAACACGGATCCTGGGGCCCCCTGAGTGCCAACACTTGCATCATTAAGTAGTTGCTGCATATTGGATCCTGCCCGACTCAGCAAGGCTTTGGATACGGCCCCATTATTCAGGTTCAGATCGGCTCCTACACTGTTCACAATGACATCCGTCTGCCATGGGAAGAGATGACAAACATTACCAAGTGATATTCGTTAAAAAAAAATGAATTTCTTAAGAATTAAATGGTTTTAATTTGAAAAGAGTCCAAATAACAACCTTTGTCATTCTAATTTATTGTAGTTCTGGAAAAAAAGAAAAGCAAAGTATGAAAAACCAGAGATAAGATGATTTTAATGAATATTTCATTGTGACTATCCTCCTTCTACTGTAATATTTCCTAACTGGATCGTGAATGTACATCTGTACACTACACCAGTCAGTCGTTCTCCGCCCTTCTACCATGGAGGAACAAAAAGTGTGAAGTCTCAGGGAACCCCTACTACTATGACAACTACTGTAGAAAAGATCTCACAAAGAATGTCTCATGGGGGTCATGTACGTTGTAAAAGAATGCTCCTTATTGTCAGTCATTGGGGGGTCAGAGGAAGAATGTCCCTTACATTGGGGTCAGTGGGAAGAACGTCCCTTACATTGGGGGTCAGTGGGAAGAATGTCCCTTACATTGGGGGTCGGTGGGAAGTGTCCCTTACATTGGAAAGAAGAATGTCCCTTACAATTGGTGGTCAGTGGGAAGAATGCTCCTTACATTGGTGATCAGTGGGAAGAATGTCCCTTACATTGGGGGTCAGTGGGAAGAATGTCCCTTACATTGGGGGTCAGTGGGGAAGAATGTCCCATTGGGGGTCACATTACATTGGGGGTCAGTGGGAAATGAATGTCCCTTACATTGGTGGTCAGTGGGAAGAATGTCCTTACATTGGGGTCATGGGGAAGAATCAGTGGGGGTCAAAGAATGTCCCTTACATTGGGGGTCAGTGGGAAGAATGTCCCTTACATTGGGGGTCAGTGGGAAGAATGTCCCTTACATTGGGGGTCAGTGGGAAGAATGTCCCTTACATTGGGGGTCAGTGGGAAGAATGTCCCTTACATTGGGGGTCAGTGGGAAGAATGTCCCTTACATTGGTGGTCAGTGGGAAGAATGTCCCTTACATTGGTGGTCAGTGGGAATGTCCCTTACATTGTTCCTTACATTGGGGGTCAGTGGGAGTGGGGAAGAATGTCCCTTAGTGGGAAAGAATGTCCCTTTGGGGGTCAGAAGAATCAGGGGTGGGGAAGAATGTCCCTTACATTGGTCAGTGGGAAGAATGTCCCTTACATTGGTGGTCAGTGGAAGAATGTCCCTTACATTGGTGGTCAGTGGAAGAATGTCCCTTACATTGGGGGTCAGTGGGAAGAATGTCCCTTACATTGGGGGTCAAGAATGTCCCTTACATTGGGGGTCAGTGGGACTGGGAGAATGTCCCTTACAGAAAGAATGTCCCTTACATTGGGGGTCATTGGTGATCAGTGGGAAGAATGTCCCTTACATTGGGGGTCAGTGGGAAGAATCCTTATATTGGGGGGTCAAGAATGTCCCTTACATTGGGGGTCAGTGGGAAGAATGAATGTCCCTTACATTGGGGGTCAGTGGGAAGAATGTCCCTTACATTGGGGGTCAGTGGGAAGAATGTCCCTTACATTGGGGGTCAGTGGGAAGAATGTCCCTTACATTGGAGTGGTCACATTGGTGGGAAGAATGTCCCTTACATTGGGGTCAGTGGGAAGAATGTCCCTTACATTGGGGGTCAGTGGGAAGAATGTCCCCTTACATTGGGGGTCAGTGGGAAGAATGTCCCTTACATTGGGGGTCAGTGGGAAGAATGTCCCTTCCATTTCTGGTCATTGGGAATAACCCCCCATAAACCCTTACATATCAGTGGTTATTTAGTGGGATGATAGGTACTCATTGGTCAAGGGTCCCCTTACCTAGTAACCTTACATGGGGGTCATGAGCCCCAGGGATCCACTGAATCCTGATCTTTTGAGAAAAGCCGATGAAGAACATGTAACAGCAGTTTATTTTGGCTTTAAAGTAATGAAATGGAAGCATTCCTGCCAAGGTTCCATGTTGGGCACAATTCACTAAGCGCTATTTTACCCCACAGCATTTAAAAAAAAATGTTTGGATTCACTAAAAATTCCGCCGAGTTATTTTACTAAGTCATGCGATATTTTAGTAGTGACAACCATGCGGTGATGTTTCAGCTGTCAGCGGGGTTCCCTACTGACAGCCGAATGTACAAAAAAGAATTGTTGCCAAAAATGTAAAAAAAAAAAACCCATACCAAGCCCTTTGGGTCTGGTATGGGTTTTGAGGGGAACCCCCACACCAAAATTAAAAAAAAAATGGCAGTGGGTACCCCCAAAATCCATACCAGACCCTTATCCGCGCATGCAGCCCAGCAGGTCAGGAAAGGAGGAGGGACAAGCGAGCGCTCCCTTCCTGAACCATACCAGGCCACATGCCCTCAACATGGGGGGTGCTTTTGGGCAGAGTGGCTCCCCCCCCAGAGCACCTTGTCCCCATGTTGATGGGGACAAGGGCCTCTTCTCCACAACCCTGACCAGTGGTTCTGGGGGGGTTATTGGAATCTAGAAGCTCCCTTTAACAAGAGGCCCCCAGATCCTGCCCCCCCCTATGTGAATGAGTATGGGGTACATGGTACTGCTACCCATTCAGTGTAGAAAAAGACAGCAGAAAGTGTATGACAAGTCTCTTATTAAAAGAAGAACAATTAAAAAATGTCCCCCGAAGTAGATCTAATGTCAGGGGCCCCCCCCCAAAGCACCTTGTCCCCATGTTGATGGGAACAAGGGCCTCTTCCCCACAACCCTTGTCGGTGGTTGTGGGGGTCTGTGGAGGGCTTATTGGAATCTGGAAGCCCCCTTTAACATGGGGGCTCCTAGATCCTACTACCACCTATGTGAATGAGTATGGGGTACATGGTCCTGCTACCCATTCACAAAAAAAAAAAACTGTAGTGTAAAAAAAAAAAAGACAGGAGACAGTCTCTGACAAGTTCCTTGTTAAAAGAAGAAGAATTAAAAAATGTCCCCCGAAGTAGATCCAACATCAATCACGATGCCCGCCGCCATCGCTGACCCGAAAAAAGAAAAAAAAAAGGCTCTGTTCCCGACACTGGCTCCTGACATCTGACTGCTCTGCCAGCCTGAGAGTTCCTAAATCTCTGCGGGGCGGGGCCACCCGGTGACATCACCCATGTGACGTCGTCAACTGGAGTATGCTGAGTAGATGATGTCACAAGCAGGTGGGATCACACGGGTGATGTCACCGGGTGGCCCCCGCCCCTTAGATATTTAAGAACTGTCTGGTCAGTGGAGCGATCAGACGGCACGAGCCAGTGTCGTGAGCAGAGCTTTTGTTTTTTCTTTCTTTCTTTTTTTCGGGTAGTGGCGGCGGCGGGCATCGTGATTGACGTTGGATCTACTTCGGGGGACGTTTTTTAATTAATCTTTTAATAAGGAACTTGTCAAAGGCTGTCTCCTGTCTTTTTTACACTACAGTTTTTTTTTTTGAATGGGTAGCGGGACCATATACCCCATATTCACATAGGTGGGAGCAGGATCTAGGGGCCCCCTTGTTAATTGGGGCTTACAGATTCCAATAAGCCCCTCACCCCGCAGACCCCCACAACCGCAGCCCAGGGTTGTGGGGAAGAGGCCCTTGTTCCCATCAACATGGGGACAAGGTGTTTTGGGGGGAGCCCCCCCTGCGCCAAAGCACCCCCCCATGTTGAGGGCATGTGGTCTGGGTATGGTTCGGGGGGGGGCACTCACTCATCCCCCCCCCACCCTTTCCTGACCTGCCGGACTGCATGCTCAGATAAGGGCCTGATATGGATTTTGGGGGGAACCCAACATCATTTAAAAAAAAAACCAATTTGGTGTGGGGGTTCCACCTTAAAACCCATACCAGACCTAAAGGGCTCTTTATGGATGAAGGGGGGACCCCACATTGTTTTTTAAATTATTTTTTAATTGCTGATTTTTTTTTTTACATTCAGCTGTCGACAGCTGATTATTTATTTATTTATTTATTTATCGAGTTTATATAGCGCCAAAGGGTTTGCTCAGCGCTGTACAATAGAGGGGGGACAATACATGAAACAGAACAGTAACATCAAACAGCACACGAGGGGTAAGAGGGCCCTACTCTTTCGAGCGTACAATCTAGGAGGGAGGGGGTAGAGGCACAGGAGGAAACGGCTGTGGGGGATGGAGTGGTAGGAGGAGGGAAGGGCAGCAGCGCTGTTAGGTGAGGGTGGGGTAGGCTTCCCTGAAGAGGTGGGTTTTCAGGGAGCGCCTGAAGGTGAGGAGGGAAGGTGACAGTCTGATGGATTGGGGTAGTGAGTTCCAGAGGATGGGGGAGGACCTGGAGAAGTCTTGCAGTCGTGCGTGGGAGGAGGAGACCAGGGAGCAAGATAGAAGGAGGTCCTGTGAAGAGCGAAGGGTACGGGTAGGGTGGGTACCTGGGAATCAGGTCGGTGAGGTAGTTAGGGGCAGTGTTGTGAATGGCCTTATAGGTCAGGGTGAGCAATTTAAATTTAATGCGTTGGGCAATGGGGAGCCAGTGGAGGGAGAGGCAGAGGGGGGTGGCAGAGGTGGAGCGGGTGGTGAGGTGGATGAGTCTGGCCGCTGAGTTCAGGATGGTCTGAAGCGGGGAGAGCCTGCACTGGGGTAGGCCGGTGAGGAGGGAGTTGCAGTAGTCCAGGCGTGAGATAATCAGGGAGTGTACTAGTAGTTTAGTGGTGTCTGGGGTAAGGAAGGAGCGTATCTTGGCGAGCTGATGACTCAGGTTGTTAAGGACGGGGCGGCCACCCACTCCTTAACAACCCATGACAGTTGCTGACAGATACCAGCACATACCGCATGCGTGGACCACTACTTCATTACCGCTAGCATTTCATTATTTTTTTCCTGTTGTGAATTGGCTTTAAAGTCTTTTTCTGCTGTGTTTACCGAGCGTTTTTGCTATTTTCGGTAAATATTGCATACTAGTGTGACGGGAGTGACTTTGGGTGGGGGGCCCATGGAACCCAGCTCAGTTTGGAGGGGTGGGGAGACCCCTGTCTCAGCTCCCCATATCCCTCTTATGTGTAAGTCACCCTGTGCCTGTTAGGGGTGCAGGGTGCTATGTCATAATATTGTGTAGATACAGTGGGGATGGAAAGTTTGGGCACCCCAGCTAAAAATTTGTATTAATGTGCATAAAAAAGCCAAGGAAAGATGGAAAAATCTCCAAAAGGCATCAAATTACAGATTAGACATTCTTATAATATGTCAACAAAAGTTAGATTTTATTTCCATCATTTACACTTTCAAAATAACAGAAAATCAAAAAATGGCGTCTGCAAAAGTTTGGGCCCCCTGCAGAATTTATAGCATGCACTGCCCCCTTTGCCAAGCTGAGACCTGCCAGTGTCATAGATTGTTCTCAATCATCGTCTGGGAAGACCTGGTGATGTCAATCTCAAAGGTTTTAAATGCCCCGACTCATCTGACCTTGCCCCAACAATCAGCACCATGGGTTCTTCTAAGCAGTTGTCTAGAAAACTGAAACTGAAAATAGTTGACGCTCACAAAGCTGGAGAGGGCTATAAGAAGATAGCAAAGCGTTTTCAGATGTCAGTATCCTCTGTTCGGAATGTCATTAAGAAATGGCAGTCATCAGGAACAGTGGAAGTTAAAGCAAGATCTGGAAGACCAAGAAAAATATCAGACAGAACAGCTCGCAGGATTGTGAGAAAAACAATTCAAAACCCACGTTTGACTGCACGATCCCTCCACAAAGATCTGGCAGACACTGGAGTTGTGGTACACTATTCCACTATAAAGAGATACTTGTACAAATATGGTCTTCATGGAAGAGTCATCAGAAGAAAACCTCTTCTACGTCCTCACCACAAAAATCATCGTTTGAACTTTGCAAATGAACATATAGACAAGCCTGATGCATTTTGGAAACAAGTTCTGTGGACCGATAAGGTTAAAATTGAACTTTTTGGCCGGAATGAGCAAAGGTACGTTTGGAGAAGAAGGGGTACAGAATTGAATGAAAGAACCTCTGTCCAACTGTGAAGCATGGGGTTGGATCAATCATGCTTTGGGGTTGTGTTGCAGCCAGTGGCACAGGGAACATCTCACGAGTAGAAGGAAAAATGGATTCAATAAAATTTCAGCAAATTTTGGATGGTAACTTGATGCCATCTGTGAAAAAGCTGAAGTTAAAGAGAGAATGGCTTCTACAAATGGATAATGATCCTAAACACACCTGGAAATCCACGGGGGATTACATCAAGAGGCGTAAACTGAAGGTTTTGCCATGGCCTTCACAATCTCCTGACCTCAACATCATTGAAAATCTATGGATAGACCTTAAAAGAGCAGTGCGTAACAGACAGCCCAGAAATCTCAAAGAACTGGAAGACTTTTGTAAGGAAGAATGGGCAAAGATACCTCAAACAAGAATTGAAAGACTCGTGGCTGGCTACAAAAAGCGTTTACAAGCTGTGATACTTGCCAAAGGGGGCAGTACAAGATATCAACTCTGCAGGGGGCCCAAACTTTTGCAGACGCCATTTTTTGTTTTCTGTTATTTTGAAAGTGTAAATGATGGAAATAAAATCTAACTTTTGTTGACATATTATAAGAATGTCTAATCTGTAATTTGATGCCTTTTGGAGATTTTTCCATCTTTCCTTGGCTTCTTTATGCACATTAATACAAATTTTTAGCTGGGGTGCCCAAACTTTCGATCCCCACTGTATGTATAGGAGGGGTGGGGGGTTGTTCATTGTTTAATGCCATGTGGTGCATCCCATTGTTCTATTGTGTGTCTTGCTTGGGAGCAAGCTATTATGGGATGTATGTGTTTGTGTATTGACTTGGTGGGGGTGTTTCCGGCAGCCCTTCCCCCTGATGGGACTGTCTGCTGATGTGTCTCTTGTTACTGGGTGTGTATTGCCCCCGCCCTGTGAATATATCTTGTATCTGTGTTAAAATAAAGTTGTCTATTTCCTGATTTATTTCAAGAGTGGTGTCCGTGGGCTGTGTTCAACGGGGACGTGGTAGTATAACGGAAATACCCTAGTGCAGTCGGGGTCCGGTTCCAACTAGCAATAGTGAATTTTCAGTATCGCATGCGATGTGTGGTCATGTGACTGACTTAACTCATGCGATTCGTGAATTGTGCCCGTTGTCTGGGTCCAGCTGTGCAGATCCCCTAAAGTCTACGATGGTCACCACAATCAGAAAAAAATCTCCAAAAGAAGACACAGACAACATGAAAAACAGATTTGGAAAGTGTTAGAACCCCTCATGTTTTATTGCTGTCTGTGTCCCTGTTGGGCAAATTTCCCTCACTTCCTCCCATCAAATTCAGACAGAAAGAAAGACAAATTTCCCCAACAAGGATGAGCACAACAATAAAGACTCAGAGGTTCTAACCCTTTCTACCTGTTTGAATCATAAAACTCTTTGGTGGAGTCCCACTTTAGCAGGAAATGCTGGTGAATCTACATACCGAACAGTCCTCAATGCTCTTCTGAAGCAGCTTGATCTTCAGTCCTTCCTTGGTCACCACAGTGTTGTCATTACCTCTATTCACCGGTGCTGGTGGGTTCTGTGCCGCTCTTGTGACCGGCTGGGGTGCCATTGCTGTAGACGGCATAGCACTCCTTTGGTTACCAAATTTGGCCTTTGTAACCTCAGAGAAAAACTTGACGGTTTCATCATTCATGTCTACAAGATGGATTCTCTGTAAAGTGCTCTGTTGTCCCGGCGTCTCTACGTAGTCCCGTATAGCTTCCACTATGTTTTCAATACATAATTTTAGGGGAAATCCAAAAACACCAGAACTGACGGCGGGAATCGCTATTGAACTGTGACTCTTCTCGGAGGCCAGCTCTAAACTGGTGGTAATTGCCCTCCGTAGAAGCCGTTCACATCTGGAGCGTGAATTTGCATCCCCCATCGAGGGCCGACTGTATGTATTATTTGTTTGCACGGCAATTTCCCTGCGTCAGTAATTACTGAATCTCCAGTGAACAATTTTCCATCTTTCCTGATAATCTGATTGCAGTCATCTTGGAGTTTACGTCCTGCTGCATCCAGAATAGCTTTTGCCAAACCCCCAATATGTTTCAGATCTTCATTGGCTGCATTAACAATGACATCTACGTTGTGACGGCACAGGTCATCTTTATATACAGAGAGGGTCAAACCATTCGGAAGAGTTATTTGGAATCGGGATTTACTAAACAGATTACTTCTTCACCCTTCTCCTCTAAACGTATCACACAATGGAAGTTTTTCCTTGCGGTTGTAGCATGCACTTCTTCATTGACCTTACAAAACTTTTTGGCTCCCGGTTTCTCAATACGCAGAGTATCGCTGTGAAGTGAGTACAAAACGTCTCTAATGATATTTGCTGCCTCTTGAACCTTCACCCGCGGGCCCCGACAGAGATATGCTGTTCTGGTTCTTTGTTACATTTATATTTTTCTTTATGTTTTTTCAAAATCTCCTTCTTCTCCTCCAAAATGAACGTCATCTTTGCTGAAGGTTGAACTCCAATTTCTGTCTCCATAGTAGTGTTCTTCTCCAGAAAGTCGCTGACTTGTTGGTAACACTTTAGAACATTTGAAGTCTGGCCGGCAATGACCACGTTGTCCTCTGTTCCAGAAGAAGATTCCTCTATCAGGACTGTGATTTTCTCTGCATTAAATGACTGAAGCAGATGTGACTGGAGACTTCTCCACTCAGGAGATTTCAGAAGACTTTTGTCTTCAACTAAAAGTTGTCTGTGAAGCAGTTTTTCCGTAATTTGCTTCTCTGCTGCAGTCAAGTCTTCCTTGAATGAGCCATCAGTTTAACAATGTCATCCTCAATTTCCAGCAGTGCGTTAATGTTGTGACGTGCAAAGAGCAGACAGGACAGCTCCTCGTTATCGGTGGATTTCAGGAACTGGATGAGCTGTGGATTCATCTGGATGGATTTACTTTTCATTTGTTGTTTGATGTTGAGTATGTCACATTTGGCGGTGAGCACTTCTTCTCTCAGTCCCGATAGACGGGCCTTCTTTGTTGGCACATCATAGTCAATACTCAGCTCTGGAACCTTGTCCAGGATCTGCTTCTTCAGGCCGCTGTTACACATGATCTGATAGAAGGCTGGAGATATGGGTAAGGTCTCAGTCATGGTTTGTTTCTTTCTTTCTACCTGTTTAGTGGTTTCCTCTACCAGTTGTCTGAATGTCGAGTCAATCTTTGTAACATCCTTGGACATTCCAGCCAAGAAAACTTTCTCTAAACCAAAGTCAGGTTTGATGAGTACTCCGTCATAGGTGGAGCTGCTGACATGTTCTCTAATAGCTTCCCAGACCGACTGATCCATTTTATACTCTAGTACTCTGAACTTTGATATAAAAAATGAGAATTCGTTATTAATGTCCTCACTCCATTTTGGTACAATCTTTGCCACAGACCTGAGATGGGTGGGCATGGTTGGAGCGAAGATGAGTTGAAGGACAGGATTCTGGCAGTCTTGATCTGGCCATTTGATCTCACAATGTTTATTCTTCATCTTCACATCTATGTTGTTCTTTAGTCCTACATTATTACAGATATGTTGCAGTATGTATGGACTGATATTAAACTCTACAGGCTTTGGTATTTCAATGCAAGGTCCATCCTTCCCATACAGTGCAATATCCAACAATGGGTAGTAAGGGTATATGGATATCTTTTTCTTAGAAAACACATGATCCTTCTTCAAAACTCTTTTGACATCTGGAAGAGAAGGAAACAAGCAGAAGGTTCACAGAGATGCTTCACGTAAAACATTAAGTTCTTCAAAGTGGTTGACCAAAAATTGTTAGTTTCAGAATTTAGAACAACCGGTGACACAACAGGACAATGTGGTGGCTTAGGGGCAACAATAGAGGCTTTGGAGAGATAAGATTTGAGGTTTTATTCTTACCAGGGTTCAATTTGAATATTGTGAGTATGTTCTCCCTTTGTTTGCATGGCTTTCATAAGCAAACTCGAAAACATTTTAGTTCAAGTTAGTAGCTGACCTATGTACTCAGTAATGAGCTGCTGATAATATCAGCCGGTTTCTGAAGTGAACTAAACAAAAAGGTTTTTCTAATCTTTTGGCCAACAATGAATATTACATAATAGATAACTTGACTGATAAAAAGTTGATATTACCATCAATCGAAGGCTGCTCATAACCCACCCCATGGCCCGATCCATTCATGCTCAACCTGGAGCATTGTTTGCATGGATTACTTGGAGTATGAACACTCTGATGTTGGCCATAAATGGTTCTATCCCTCCTCGATGTGCCTCTTGGACAATTCAGAGGGGTTTCTAAGGGGCACCTACCAACATGTGAAGGTTCAGTCTGCTCTGTTCTCACCTGCTGTGTCATGAAATGTGATCATTGCGGCTCTTTCCTCAGGTAACATCACAATGTCCTCTACTCTTCCTCCTCCCTGTTTTTGGTTCTCAAAGAAAGCTGCCAGATGTATCTCAAGTGTGTTCTCCGGTACATTCTCCACCCTGACACTTTGGTATTCCTCCAGAGGCCTCGCTGTCAGCTTGTTGTGAATCGCTCTGATATTACAGGAGAACGTTCTGATGAATCTCTGAATATCTGAAAAAAAAGCAACAGGAATGTTTCCCTAATATGAATAGCATAAGTCTATAGTTACATAGTTAGTCTAGCTGAAAAAAAGACAAAAGTCCATCTAGTTTAATCAAAATAAATAAATGTTATAATCCTACACTCACAGTTGATCCAGAGGAAGGCAAAAAAACCAGCAAAGCACGATCCAATCTGCTCCTGCAGGGAAAAAAAGTTCCTTCCTGATCCCCCGAGAGCCAATCGGATATTCCCTGGATCCACTTTCCCTATAAATGTTATATCCAGTTATATTCTGTGTATCCAAGAAAGAATCCAGGACTTTCCACAGCAATCCACTGAGCTGGCCACACCCAACTCAAATTACAGCTGTGTAAAAGCTATAAAGCAACATGGAGCCTACCTGCTGAGAGGCTTTAGATTTCACCCTGGCATTTGAAAACTACGACCAACGCCTAGGACCAACACAAAGCCAATGGCATGCAGCGCAGTAGAATATAGACATACAGTAATGTCCACCACGCAAGACCAGCCGACTCACCAATTACTGCAACAAATTATAAGTGAGATCCGCGCAACTCAAAAACAGGACTACAAAAAAAGAATAAGGCTAAGGAAAGCCCAAAAGAAAGGTTGTAATGGAACCGGACCCCACCTGCACTGGGGTATTTCCGTTAAACTCCCGCTTCCCCGTCCGGACACAGATCCACGGACCCCACTCTTGAAGGAAACCAGGAAATAGACGGCTTTATTTTAACACAGACACAGGATATAAACATTCAAGGGAACAACCCACCTCCCTGCATAAGGACACAGGGCGGGGCAACCAAAATCTAGCAACCAGAGACACATCAGCAGACACCCCCCACCAAGCCAATACACAAACACATACATCCCATAATAGTTTGCTCCCAAGCAAGACACACAGTAGAACAATGGGATGCACCACATGGCAGTAAACAATGAACAAACCCCCCACCCCACCTATACCTGTCTACACAATATCAGGACATTCCTCCCTGTACCTGGACATGTTCACAGTCAGGAAGCACAATCCAACCACTGCCACCAATGTAACGGAACCGACACAGACTGTGCTTGAGTACTTCCGTTAGAATACCGCTTCCCCGTCCGAACACCGACAACAGACACCCACAGCTGACCATACAAGACTAGACAACACCAGTCTTGAAGTAAACCAGGAAGTAGACTAGTTTATTTTAACGCAGATACAGGATATATACACTCAGGGGACAGTCCCTCCTCCCTACATAATGACACAGGGCGGGGCAATCTACACTTAGTAACAAGAGACACACCAACAGACAGTCCCATCAGGAGGAGGGCTGCTGGAGACACCCCCCCCACCAAGCCAATACACAAACACATACATCCCATAATAGTTTGCTCCCAAGCAAGACACACAATAGAACAATGGGATGCAACCACATGGCATTAAACAATCCACAACCCCCCACCCCAATATCAGGATATTCCACCCTGTACCCCTAACAGGCACAGGGTGACTTATACATAATAGGGATATGGGGAGCTGAGACAGGGGTCTCCCCACCTCTCCAAAGTAAGCTGTGTTCCATGGGCCCCCCACCCAAAGTCACTCCCGTCACAAAGGTTACCTAGCAGATCATGTGGCTTTGAAAACACGAGGCTTTAATAAATATCAAAAATACAATACACCAAAGAGCATAAATTACAATAGAAAATCAACACACACGGGGCACACACGGGGCACACACGGGGCATCTGCCAAGTTTCATTAAAGCTTCAAAAAAGCATCACAGAAGCATAAAAAACACATCAAAAAAGTTGAAGCGGTAGGTGCCTTAATGTGTGTGGAGGTCTAAGCAAGTGTAAAGAAGTCCTAATACAGTTGCATTTTTCTTGACATGTCTTTATTGTACAGCAAACATTTTTGTGAATCTGTACTTTTACCTCCCTTGCTTTCCAGCACTCCAGTAGATAAAGATGCCAGTGATTCTGTAGAGCCTCGCGGTACTTCACTGATTTTTGGGCATATGGCAAGCAAGCAACATTCTCTCACAAAAGCCATTGGATGATAATGTGTGATGGAGTTTGTAGGCCCACATTAGAAGCGGTGAGCCTCATTCCAGGCTCCGTATCTAAATCAAAGGCAAACCACAAAGACGGGACTCACCGATATCACATGTGAAGGTGACAACAGCAGATTGGATCTCCGGAATTATCTCCACATAGAAGTCCGCATCCTCAACCTTCTCACTGGTATTCTCCACCAGGAGGTTTAACATCTCAAGAGTGTGGCTGTTCTTGACCTTCTCGATGAGAACCAGAGAGGACGGGGAGGCTCCATCATCTGGTGGGGCTGTAACACAGCAAAACATATTCTACATCTCAATGAACATAATGACTGAACATTCTGAGAGTTATCGGTCAGGATTGTGGTCTTTGCTGAGTTGCTGAGCTCATTCTACAGGGCAGGATTAGAGTTGGTGATCTCAGAGTAGAGCCATGGTTCTGTCTAATTATGGAGGGCCTTCTGGGAGGATATAGCTGGAGCTGCTCAGCCACATCAAACTGCTGGAAGATTCTGAGTTAGAGGCAGAACTCATTGGATGGAAAATATCTCCATCCCAGGACTGACCCTGAACACACCGGAGGGAATATATCTCCATCCCGGGACTGAACGTGATCACACCGGAGGGAATATATCTCCATCCCGGGACTGACCCTGAATACACTGGAGGGAATGTATCTCCATCCCGGGACTGACCCTGAACACACTGGAGGGAATGTATCTCCATCCATCCCGGGACTGACACTGAACACACTGGAGGGGAATATATCTCCATCCCGGGACTGACCCTGAACACGCTGGAGGGAATATATCTCCATCCCGGGACTGACCCTGGACACACTGGAGGGAATATATCTCCATCCCGGGACTGACCCTGAACACGCTGGAGGGAATATATCTCCATCCCGGGACTGACCCTGAACACGCTGGAGGGAATGTATCTCCATCCCGGGACTGACCCTGGACACACTGGAGGGAATATATCTCCATCCCGGGACTGACCCTGGACACACTGGAGGGAATATATCTCCATCCCGGGACTGACCCTGAACACACCGGAGGGAATATATCTCCATCCCGGGACTGACCCTGGACACACTGGAGGGAATATATCTCCATCCCGGGACTGACCCTGAACACACCGGAGGGAATATATCTCCATCCCGGGACTGACCCTGAACACACTGGAGGGAATGTATCTCCATCCCGGGACTGACCCTGAACACACCGGAGGGAATATATCTCCATCCCGGGACTGACCCCTGATCACACTGGAGGGAATACATCTCCATACCGGGACTGACCCTGAACACACCGGAGGGAATGTATCTCCATCCCGGGACTGACCCTGAACACAGTGGAGGGAATATATCTCCATCCCGGGACTGACCCTGAACACACCGGAGGGAATATATCTCCATCCCGGGACTGACCCTGAACACACCGGAGGGAATATATCTCCATCCCGGGACTGACCCTGAACACACTGGAGGGAATATATCTCCATCCCGGGGACTGACCCTGAACACACCGGAGGGAATATATCTCCATCCTGGGACTGACCCTGAGCACACTGGAGGTAATATATCTCCATCCCGGGACTGACCCTGAACACACTGGAGGGAATATATCTCTCCATCCCGGGACTGACCCTGAACACACTGGAGGGAATATATCTCCATCCTGGGACTGACCCTGAACACACCGGAGGGAATATATCTCCATCCCAGGACTGACCCTGATCACACTGGAGGGAATACATCTCTCCATCCCGGGACTGACCCTGAACACACCGGAGGGAATGTATCTCCATCCTGGGACTGACCCTGAGCACACTGGAGGGAATATATCTCCATCCCGGGACTGACCCTGAACACAATGCAGGAAATTTATCTCCATCCCGGGACTGACCCTGAACACACTGGAGGGAATATATCTCCATCCCGGGACTGACCCTGAACACACTGGAGGGAATATATCTCCATCCTAGGGCAGATCCAGAACTCGTTGGAGTCGCCAGATCTCTCCATTGGCATGAAATCTAGGATGGAGGGACAGGGAGAATGAGGGAAAATCCTTCTAATGGAGCCTCAGATTGCAGTTAAGATCAGACAGGGGTTCTAGTCCTTTCTTATTTCAACTAAAATTAGAAATCATATTTTTGACACCTTAAGTAATTTCTCCTTACAAAGTCCCCAATGGAAGGACCTTGGCAGTCATTGGCAGACCGGCCTCAGATATCCTATTCTCCTCCCCTCCCCCCTTCCCACCACTATGATCTAAAGAACAAATATTAGTCCAAGAAACGACTTCTTACGTTTTTCCTCGACACGGCCGGACTGAGAACCCTGAAAATAGAAGATAAACCGCCATGAGTCATTTCTAGAGATTTCTGTTCATTATAACAATCAATATTTCCAGCAGAGACAACCAATGAGAGCTGAGAATAAAAAGTAAATAACATGCCTATTATTGATTATTGAACTGCGTCTATTATTTACCCGCCTCCCACCCGCCGTATCAGGAAATGACGGGCGCAAGGCGGTTCTCTCGTTTTGGGAGGATGTCATATGACGGCCTCCCACTCCAACCGCGCGTGTGCGCCCCCCAGCGTGGCGATCGGCGGTGCGCTGTGTCCCTGAGATCAACGGAAAGAGCCGAAGATGTTGGCTCTGTCATGTGATCAGCTGTGTCCAATCACAGCTGATCGCATGTAAACCGGGAAATGCCGGTTATCAGCATTCCTCTCCTCACAAGCTGTCATGCTGATAGAGGAGAGGAGCGGAGAGCCGGTAATCGGCATTCCTCGGTGGGGACATGTACACTGATCATCAGAGCACTGATGATCAGTGTGCCCTGATGATGATTTGTATCCCCAGCAGTGCCACCTGTCAGTGCTCATCAGTTCTACATCATTGCCACATATCATTGCCCATCTGAGCTGCCTTTCAGTGCCACCTATCAATGCCAGTCAATGCCACCTATCAGTGTCAGTCAGTGCAGCCGATCAGTGCTGCCAATCAGTGCCGCCTATCAGTGCCAGTCAGTGCCGCGTATCAGTGCACATCAGTGCCGCCTATCAGTGCCCATCAGTGCCGCCTATATCAGTGCCCATCAGTACTGCCTATCAGTGCCCATCAGTGCTACCTATCAGTGCCTGTCAGTGCTGCCTATCAGTGCCCGTCAGTGCCACCTATCAGTGCACATCAGTGCCGCCTATCAGTGTCCATCAGTGCCACTAACAGTGCCAGTCAGTGCCAACTAACAGTGCCAGTCAGTGCCGCCGATCATTGCTATATATAAGTGCTGCCTTTCCAGTGACCATCAGTGATGCCTGTCAATGCCTGTCAGTGCCACCTACCAGTGCCTCCTCATCAGTGCCCATCAGTGCCTCCTCATCAGTGCCCAGCAGTGCCTCCTCATCAGTGCCCATCATTGCCATTTGTCAGTGCCCATCAGTGCAGCCTATCAGTGCCCATCACTGCAGCCTCATTAGCGCACATCAGTGAGGGAGAAAAATTACTTATTTTACAAAATTTTATAACAGAAACTAAGAAAAAACATTTTTTTTTTCAAAATGTTCAGTTGTTTTTGGTTTGTTTAGCAAAAAATAAAAAACCCCCGAGGTGATTAAATACCGCCAAAAGAAATCTCTATCTGTCTCAAAAAAATGATAAAAAATTCATACGGGTACAGTGTTGCATGACCGCGCAATTGTCATTCAAAGTGCGACAGCGCTGAAAAAGATGAGAATTGGCCTGGACAGGAAGGGGGGGGAGTGTCCAGTAGGCTGGTGGTCAAAGAGGACCTCCCATGGAAAAACAGAAGGTTTGCTTTTGTGGGGCCCCCCCTGCCCCCCCATACCATTGGCTTTAAAAAGCCATCTGTAAACAAACCATTCTCCCAGTAAAAAACCCCTTTACCTTGGCTCCGCCCCCTGACACTCTCCGGAGGTAGGAATGGGGTCACAGCTGGAAGCCTTCCTAGATTGTAAGCTCCCAGGATCAGGGCCCTCGAACCCCTCGTGTATTGTATTGTTACTGTCTTGTCTCATGTTCTGTCCCCACTATAATGTACAGCGCTGAGCAAACCTTCTGCCGCCATATAAATCCTCTATAATAATAATGATAATAATAATATAATAATACAGGATTTATATGGCGGCAGAAGGTTTGCTCAGCGCTGTACATTATAGTGGGGACAGAACATGAGACAATACAGTAACAATACAATACACGAGGGGTTCAAGGGCCCTGATCCTGGGAGCTTACAATCTAGGAGGGAGGGGGTAGTGGTACAGGAGGAAGTGGCTGTGGGGGATGGAGTGGTAGGAGGAGTGGAGGAGATCGGCTGTTAGGTGAGGGTGGGGTAGGCTTCCTGAAGAGATGGGTTTTCAGGGTGTGCCTGAAGGTGAGGAGAGTAGGTGACAGTCTGATGGATTGGGGTAGGGAGTTCCAGAGGATGGGGGAAGTCCTGGAGAAGTCCTGGAGATGAGCATGGGAGGAGGAGACCAGGGAGCTAGAGAGTAGGAGGTCTTGTGAGGACCGAAGATTACGGGTTGGGTGGTATTTGGGTATCAGGTCGGTGAGGTAGTTTGGGGCGGAGTTATGAATGGCTTTGTATGTCTGTGTTAGGAGTTTGAATTTGATCCGTTGGGCAATCGGGAACAAGTGAAGGGATTGGCAGAGAGGGGTGGAGGACACTGAGTGGAGGCCAGTGGAGGGATTGGCAGAGAGGGGTGGAGGACACTGAATGGAGGCCAGTTGAGGGATTGGCAGAGAGGGGTGGAGGACACTGAGTGGAGGCCAGTGGAGGGATTGGCAGAGAGGGGTGGAGGACACTGAGTGGAGGTCAGTGGAGGGATTGGCAGAGAGGGGTGGAGGACACTGAGTGGAGGTCAGTGGAGGGATTGGCAGAGAGGGGTGGAGGACACGGAATGGAGGCCAGTGGAGGGGATTGGCAGAGAGGGGTGGAGGACACTGAGTGGAGGTCAGTGGAGGGATTGGCAGAGAGGGGTGGAGGACACTGAGTGGAGGTCAGTGGAGGGATTGGCAGAGAGGGGTGGAGGACACTGAGTGGAGGCCAGTGGAGGGAATGACAGAGAGGGGTGGAGGACACTGGATGGAGGCCAGTGGAGGGATTGGCAGAGAGGGGTGGAGGACACTGAGTGGAGGCCAGTGG